AACACATTCGTGTTCTAGTGTCTGCTTTGATTAATGCTAAGATTAATGAAGTATATGACAGTGAGAAATGAACGTTAACGCTTCATACATGTAATGGTCAATCTCGCACGATTATTGGCGAGTTATCTATGGGAATGTCGAATGATCGAGTTGCCAGACATCGTGTATCTCTGGTTGCATAGACATGAAAGAATTACATGATGAACACTATATGATTGGTCTTGTTTCACGATTCCACTCCTGGCCAAGCCAATTATCCTTTTTTTATTTTTTTAAGGGAGTGGTATCTTTTTTTGCGACAATCTTCGCTATACTTGTATACACTCTTCCTTCCATACCCGAGAGCGACTTTCGTATCGAGACAGCAGCGTTCTGCCGCTGCGTTTCCGGCCGACTTTAATCGTGCATGCGTGACGAGTGCCACGCGAAGGACTTAAGGACCTTAGTTGGCATCGCGTGACTTTCAGGGTGGTGCATAGGGTCGGTAATTTATTCCCGCCGGGGATCTCTGTCCCGAGGTTCATGACATGTCTGACTTTTTTCCCCCATAATTCGTTGCGCGCGGATGAATGACAGTCGCGAAAAGGGTTAGCGAAGACCGGAGAACCATCGTGCTTCTGTGGGCGCTCGAACACATAAGGTGCGTGGCGCCATGGGAATGAGTTAATTACTTCATACGCAACGCGGGTAGTGACTGGTAATTATTTCATGTAGCAGATGCCCGTAAGCAGACGTTGAACGTTCGAGCGACATCGGTAAATTATACATTCGTATATACATCACAACAATTTTTAATAAAATTAATAATTAGTAGCTATTTTAATGTTAATTAAAAATGCTGGAAATATTATATAATAATAATAACTGTGCAAAAATCGTAAAAAACAATATTTCTTAAAATGCATATATTTTATTACATTTTTAATTGTTATTACCATACCAATAGTTATTACATTTATAATAATTATTTGTTTTGACATTTAAGTAATACATTATGTTTGATTTTATATTTTATTTATTTATTATTTACTAAAATAATTTTTTTGTAATTATTAATTACAATTAATTAATTTTTTCTCTATATAGTTCTTCAATTAAAAAAATATATGTAATATTAGCAATTAACTCAATTGTATCAAGTAAAGAATTAATTTATCGAAAATATTTATTTATAATTTATATTTAAGTATACAATTATTATTTAAAAAAAGTTTGATTGATTTTTTCGTTGATTTAATTCAAAATTTGTTCTAACATTATTGTTCCATAATTGTACTAAAAGGAGAAAGAAAATTGTTTTGAAATTTTCGTTAATCTTTATTAAGTATAAAGTAATTAAATGGAATATTACGAAATAAGTGTGGCTACAAGGTATGAATTATCATTAAACACATTAGATGAAAAAACTCATGGATATCTATACATTTTTATATCTGAATAAAGAATGTTGAAAGATCGAAATAACAAAGTTTAACGCTGTCTGATTAATTTTCTATCTTGTGTAACAACGGTTATTAGATTTTCGATCAGGATTTTGTCTCTTGATGATATTATCCGCTCCTCCTTAAGAAGAGTTGCATGATATAGATTTTAGTGTTTTTCGAATTTACGATGCTTGAATCTTTAGTTTAATGCAAACATTTATTAAAATAAAAATTATATTTTTTTAAATATTTTTTATGGAATTCTTTTATAAAATATTTATTTAGATTTGAGATAAAATTTTTATGGAATAAGTCCTTTATAATTATTTAAAGTAAATATTTTATAAAAGTAAATATTTTTTTCATAATTAATAACTTTTTACAAAAGAAGAAAAAGCAAAAATGGAAACTCAGGGTAAAATAAAAAATTGTGATAATGAAAAAACTTTCTAAATACTTACTTTACTTTTTAAATATTTCTGAAAGTAGTATTCGAAAAAATAACGCTTTTTGGGCTTTCACGGATATTATCTTCAAAGATATCAGAATCACCGTGTTTTCCACCATTGCCATTAGGCAAACTTTCTGATATCTTTGAAGTATTCGAGAAAATAGTTTCTCCAATCATCATCAGATAGCAGCAGTCATCAGTCAGTATAATAGTACCACACATAACCACGTGAGGTCTCTTTCGTCATCTCTCATTTCTATCTGTATAGGGATTCTACTGTTACGATGCCACTGCTTTCGTTCACAAGTCTGTTTGCGTTTACACTTTTTGCACTCATTCACTTTCTCTCTCTCTCCACTGCCTAAATATATATTTATCTCAGTTTTAATTTTTTGGGGGATTTCAAGTAACGCAAACAGATTTCATATTTTCACAATTTAAAAGATAAAATTGATTAATCATATGTAATAATTGTGCAAGCATTAAATATGTATTGAACAGATTTTTACTTTTAGAATAAAGATTCAAATTAGTCTATATATTACACAAAAGCTCTATTTTTGTTGAATTCCTATGTCGAACAAGTTCAATCGTTCTGTTTGCTGAATATAGGATCGTTCAAGTGTACCTTCAAGTGACAAAAAGTATACCTTCCAACAAGCGACACAAATAACGGTGTGATACAATGGATCATTACATCCTTATTGTTTGCAAATTAAATAAAGATGATCACTGTGTCGCACTAGTTTCTGGCCTAGTTTCCATCGAGGGTTTAATCAGAATGTAAGAATCAATCAACTATAGTCGAATATTCCCCTGTCGACTATAGTTGATTGACTATAGTTGATTGATAGGGGAATGTTCGATAATTCGTAAAAGATATATAAGCTTATCCGGATTAAACTCTCGGTGGAAACTAGGCCTGTGTCTTGTTGGAAGATATACAAAGCAGCTAGCCTGTTCGCTGAATTACTTATAGATCTAACCAATCACATTTAATGGCTCATTGAACAAGCTTTGTCCGATTTTAACGCGCCTTATGATTGGACGCCACAGATCCATTAATTTTGAAATTTCATAATGGCAACTAATTCTGGATATGTCGAAAAAAGCGATTCATCAGTCTTTCATCGTTCGGTGTCACAGCGTCAGTCAGCGTCGATTGACCTTGCATTATTCACACTTGTGTATTTATTTCATAAATCACTTCATAAATTCACTTATAGCGTTTTCTCTTGGCTGTATTATTGTCCACCAGTGCAACACTCAGACAATGTAGCGTGTTTTTTTGGATGGTGGTGGGCGAATGTAACGTGTTTCCGTGGCTAGTGTAGTGCAAATTTTATGCACGAAATGGAGTTTTTGCTACACGATCTCAAAGAGATGGTGTGACATTAAAAATTTGAAAATGGAAGTCAATCGGCAGCAGAATTAAATAATTATGATAGCATGAAGTGTACACCATGGTGTATGTACACTTGTGCACTGATACTTACACGCAACTGGTGTAGTGCGAAGTTACACTCAGTGTATCCCAAGAGAAAACGCTAAGTAGATCGTTTATGAGGATTCTCAACATTAAGGAGATTTTAATTATTAACAAAATCGAGAAAATCGAAAACATTTCCTGGAATACAACAAATATCGATAGTATTCATTGCCGCAGTATTCATTGATACAAGTAATAATCTTTTCTATGTAACAATAGAGATGTTATCATGAGTCGTTACATAGAGAATTATAGAACAGGCAAATATTAGGTATATCTCCACCCATACAGCAGAAATATTGCAAAAATATTTTACTGTAAGATTGCAACATTACAAAAATATTGCGAAATATTGTTGCAATATTTCAGCAACATTGCAGCAACGTAAAAATGTTCGTTTTAAAAATATTGATACGTAATGTTGCAGCAATATTACAACATAATATATATGTAATATTAGATTTTGTGCACAGTGAAGAAATACTTGCAGTATTATTGTAGAAACATTGTAATAATGCAGCAACATTGCTGTAATACCACAACGTTACTGCAATATTTATTATAAGATTTTATACTATATAAATTTAAATATAAAAAATTAGAAGGAATTAAATGTAACATACAATGGATACAAATAAAATATGACTTCATAATTAATTATGTCTTTGTATTTTATATTTTATATATTCCGATATATACTACCAGTGCTGAAAATCTATAGTATACATAATGTGCATATCGGAACACGCCTATAAAATATAAAAACATAATTAATTACGAAGTCATATTTTATTTGTATTCATTGTATGTTGCATTTAACTTCTATTTCTAATTTTTTATATTATACGTCTTATATCTTATTATTGCGTCCATTGTGTATTATATTTAATCCTTACTTCTAATTGTTTTATGTCTATAAAAATTCCTATAAATTATAGACATTGACTACGTCTTTTCACCTTATGTCCGTTTCTACTAATGTAGGTTAACTTTAATCTCGGACAACTTACTCGTTGTCTTTTTCTAATCTTTAGAAGATAAATTAAACTGAGATTAAAATTAATCTATATTGGTAGAAATGGACATTAATTGGGTTTAATAATATTCTTAGTTAGAAACTAACCAGTCATTCCATTTTTCAGAGAAATATAGTTATGAGGTTTGTCAGTTTCATAACTACAGATGTTATGAAATCCGAGCAAGTGTGTGCCGTATAAACGTGATCATTAACTCCTATTCTTCCATTATGTCCTGGTCCTTACTTTATTGGGTTATACACAAATCAATATATACTTAACACTCAAAGTGAACTTTCTAACAAAAGCACAAATCGACACAGTGAGTCATTCTTGTCTTTGTTTCTTACTGATGTTTGAAGGACAGGATGACTCTCGTGTCAATTTGTGTCTCTTGCTGAAAATATTTTAAATACTGCTGCAACATTGAAATGCAGCAATGTTATTACAAGTTTCTGTACTGTATAGGCAATGGTAAGCCGAAAATAACTCATAATAATCTAACTGCAAACGAAATCGCTAACTTTTCTGATCGAGCACATGGATATTTTTGTAATAACTTTTCGAGATCTTGTAACCGATCGTGCGAATAATCGTTGGCATTCTTATATCTGTTTCAGTGGAGGAAAGTTCATCACCATTGGCGACAGAATTAGGTTGCCAGATGATGTAACAATGGGATACATCATTGAGTATCTTCTGAAAAAACAGCTCACTGTGGTAGAACAGTTCCATTCACACTTGGAGCCGATGAAGTTTCTAAGCAAGGATACTTTTCATGAACAGGTAATTTCAACATTCTTTTCTTTCTGAATTCTATTTTGAATAAGAACATTTTATATAGTCTATTTTAGAGATTATTTTGGAGATGATTTTTTTCATATTTTTTAAAATATACTTTAAACATTTGATAATTATATGATGGAATGTGATTTTTATTTAAGTGATGTTGAGACGTATTACAGTAAATAATTGCTGATTATCTATGTAATTAATTTCTTTTTTATTGACATGGTCAATCAAATTTCTGAACTTCAATCATTAGATTAAGAAGTCCATTTCAATGGATTTGTAAAGTTACGCCATTCTATTAATATATAAAAAATGTTAGATAGACTCAGTAGCATTTTTCATAATTCTATAGTCATTTATCAAGATAAAAAACATTTTTTACACAAAAAAAAAAATAAAAATTGGAAATATAGCACGCTAACTTTATGATTCTAGCATAGCATTTTTTCTTTCTAAAGTACAAAAAAAGAAAAATATTTCCATTTTTGGCTATATAGTTTCCCATTAATATTACTCAAGTTGTACCAATATATGTGATTTGAGATCAAAATTTTAACACTTACCAATTTTAATAAATTTTAAATGTAAAAGGCAACATTTGGAAAAAAGTATTGTGCTATAATTTATCACAATTCTAACGATATTTCTGGTTCTAGAATTGTATGCTCTACAATTCTCATTTTCAAACACAGTTCCAACTGCTATTTTTTTGGTTTTTAAATTATTTTTAAAAAAAATTTGGAACTTTTTTTATTTTTATAAAGAATCGTAGAACTATGAAAAATGTTACTGGACCTGTTATTATTTATTTTATATTAATACAATAGAAAGTTGTGTTAACTTCACAGATCCATGTTCAAAGTTAGCAAGGCATTCTATTATTAAAAAATGATGCTAGATCCAACAGCATTTTTCATAGTTCAACCATTTCTGATAAAAATTTAAAAAATGTTCTGTATTTTTAATATCATATGATCACAAATATAAAAATGCTGTACTACGCATTCCAACACATCTCTCCCTTTAAAGTATTAGATGCCACGAATATTAAGACATCTGTTAAGTTTTTTCGTTAAATTTAAGCTATATTTATTATTATATGACGTTTCAGGATAAAATTTCTATAATTAATAGTTTTTATATCATTTTGAATAACCATATTCCACAGCAAAGTATCGTGCTGATAATTTTTAACACATTTGACTATAGTTCATAGTTTTCGTGAAATACGGATGTTAAAAACTGTAATATAAATTATTAGTTGTTGGAATTTCGTCCTGAAACATTACATAATAATGAATTTAATTAGCTTAAAATTAACGGGCACATTTAACAACTGTTGAATATTGTCATCTGATACTTCAGAGATATAAGTATGCGCGTACTGGAACATGAAGTTAGCACAGCATTTTTAAAATTTTCTTGGTATTAAAAATGTAAAACATTTTTTAATTTTGATTAGAACTGATTGAATAGAACTATAAAAAAAGTGCTACCGGAACTATCATTGTTTTTTGAACATTGATAAGTTCAATTTCACAAACACCACTTTAATGAATATTCGAACATCTATCATAATTTATCTGTCTGCAGAATGATTTGTTACTATTATAATTCAAAATAGAAATAATCAATGTTAATGTCTGTTACGTTCTGGGCGTATAATGGTCGCAATAAATAGCATGATGATAAATAATGATACGATAATAGGATGATTTGAAGTCCACGGATCAGACCACCCGGAGTACTATCTGTTTTATTTCAAAATATAATAGTCATTATTTAATCGTACGATTTCCGTTTAGTATATTAGTTCACACGCTAAAAATATATTTGTCAATTTGTCAATTTTTTTATTGATAAGTGTCAATTAAATTGAGTCTACATTACTTCTTACATGTTCTCCTTTATGTAACACGCATGTATATGCAGCATCATGAATATACATAATAATAGAAGAAATCGGAAAGAGGGAAGAGGAAAGAGAGAGAGAGAGAAGAGACTTAATTTTGACATTATTGATTATTTTTAAAAATTTGATAATAATTTTCATCTAAATTTAAATTATTTTATTTAAAATAAAAATCTTATTTTTAAACCTATTACCTATCGTATATTTGATAAGTAATAATTAGAAATTATTTTTGTTTTTTAAACTCGATTTTTTACAATAAATTATTTATAAATTATTAGTTAATTGTAATATAATGCATGCGTGGAGATCGAGTTACAACGTACAGATCAAGTTACATGTAAATGATTGTATGCGTAAGCAAAATGCTACAAAAAGTATTCTTTTTCATCACTATATTACTGATATCAGATTTCGCAAAAACTAGTATTCATATATGTATATATACATATATGTATACATATATGATACAAATAAACGATGTGAAATGTCGCTTTTAATATCAGTGACGTTACATAGATTCTTTTAATATACAATTTTTTCTGCTGATAAAAAAGCTTTTGTGACTTATTGAATCAAACTATTCTTTTTTTTTTTTATTTTTCAGGTTTCCTTTAGTTATTCTAAGGGACCGAGAGACGAATGGAATATCCTAAAGATAGATGGTTTCGATATGAAGGATGATCCAAAGAGGTAATATTTGAAATTTCATTTTATTTCCACTTTAACTTTTTTCAGCATAAAAATATTTTCATTTTTGATATTTAATTGATTCATACTATTAATTTATCGAATTTATGCAAAATACAAATATTTAAAATTTATGACAAAATTCTTACATTAATTTTCTTTTTAAACTTTCTGCGAACTCTTCTGTAACGTTGCATCAAAGCTTTAATTGCGTCTAATTATTAACTTCACGTAAAGTATTTGTATAAAATACCAGACAAATAAGAAAACTTTTTGGAAGAGATAACTGAATAAAAATATTTTCGTTGTTTCTACAAGGAATCTTATAATATCGCAAATAAATATTGCAAGATTTATTTTTTTAACTTTACGTTGTTCCGTTGGAAAAATTATATCATTATAGATGAATGATTACGCAATTATAATTCTGCTTAATCTTATGGAAATTGAATTTCGATCGAATTGGATGAATTTTTGATATTTTTTCGCTGATGAAAAGCATCAATGAACACAACCCATGAAAAGCTTTTTAGACTTTCACGGTATTATTATCAAAGATAACTAAGATAGGAAGGTTATTGCCTTGTTTTTATCCATGCTAATACCAACATTTTATGAACTTTACCGTTCATTTTATCAGGGTGAGGAATGTGTGTGATATTCAACTCAGGAAAATAAACTATTTTTTAATTACAGCTATCTAAAGTCTGAAAATTGTTCATCATTGTTTTTTGCAAGAAGCATGTAATTTGGAAAAAATAATATATATATTAATTATTAAGATAATATATGTATATATTTTTCCTTTGTATTGTATTTGTTATAAGCAAATTTCTATACTATTAAAGACTTCGTTAATAATATGTTAAATAAGTTTTATTTTTTAATTTTGGATGATTTCAATTTATATTAATTTTGAATTGTGCCTATAACAGGTTTGATTTAATATAAATGGAATTACATTAAAATTTTATTCAATTTGTTTAAAATTCAATTTTGATGAAGTTTGAATATGCTTCTTTATTATAAAATAAGTTTGACAAAAATTAACAAGAATGTTAAGTACACATTGATATGTATATACGCACAATGCTGTGTGTGTATGTGTGTGAGTGTGTGCGCGCGAGCACACACACACACACACACACACACACACACACACACACACACACACACACACACACACACACACACACACACACACATTATATATATGGGGCATATTCCATCCCAAGTGCGCTGTGAATCCCTTGGATTTTTTATTTAGCCGAAATTTTGATATATTATAATATTCATTGAAAGAAGCTGATTTTAAAAAAAATTTTTGTGAACATAGTCGTGAGATACAATTTTTTTTCCAAAATTCGCAGTTTCAATTTTTGAATGCCTATAACTTTGCGAAAAATAATCCAAATAAAACATTTTTTTTTAAATTGTTTGTTTTGTCTCTATTTTTCAAAACAAAATATCAAAAAAAGTTTCAAAAATTAAAAAATTTTTTTAATTTGAAGTAAAAAATTATGAATTTTTGAAAGTATGATACATTTAATTTTTTTCAAAAAATTATCATAACTTTGATTAATTTAATTATTTTTAAGATTGATTTGATGATTTAATAATTTTTAAGATGGATTTGATCGTGGGCAAGTTTTTCCTTCTATTTTTTTTCGAATTAAAAAATTTTTTTTTAATTTTGCAATAAAATAATATGAAATCATGATTTTGTCATTTCCTAACATTTTCTCAATGTAATAAATGAATTTATTCTCAATGTAATAAATAACTTATTTTTTATTTTTATCGATTTTAGAAAAAAAATGTGTGTGTGTGTGTGTTTCCGTAATAAATGTTACTTTTATTCTAAAATTATTGTGTTCTTATTATGAATTTTTTTTTACAATACAATTTTTTATTTTTATAAATCGTAATTGTTCAATCTTTTTTTGTAAGGATATGGCGCCAAGAAACTCTTGCATGCAGAGTTACTAAATTTGTTTGATTTTGCTTATAGAGATGCGAAAAGTAGTTAGAAAGTTGTGTAGTTGGAAAGGATTTATTACCTTGAGAAAAAAACTGAAAATATATGATATACATATACACACAACATTTAGGATAATTTTTACTCTAAATTACTTCGTATAATTTACGAAAAGAATATCTTTTGAAATTTGCAAAATCATGTTTACTTGCAAATAATGGGGTTAAATTAATTCGCTTTCTTTGTTGGTCTCTTTTAAGTAATGTTTACTCGCGCGAGTAAATCGTTTAGCAATGATGTAAATCATCGTGCATTTTAAGTGTAGATATCTGCAATTTGCATTAATGTATATGCGTGAAATGCCTCATGTTTTCTATGTTGGCATAGGTAAAAGAAACGAATGTGTGTGAAACGAAAGGGAATAAATAATTGTGAGGACGACATTACAGCGTGTTATATATATGTGTATATATATATATATAAATTCATCCCTAAAACGCATTTCTTATGCATAGTTGTT